ATTTGGGTCTCAATGTATTGCATTTGTCTTCAGAAACCTAATTGAAATAGTCCTGGATTTGGGGTGGATCTATTCCAAAAAACTTCGAAGTACTTGATTGATAAAGGCAATTGTGGGCGTTTCTTAAGAGCGCACACACAATGTACATTTTGCCAACAGGACTTAAGGACGGTGTCTACTAAATACAAAGGTTTTTGCGCCACGTTAGGACCACGCGGAAAAAGTACATCTTTGCAAGGGCTATTGGAATCCACAAAGAAAACTGGGGATAGCCACGCATTTTTTGGAGATAATTAGCCTTGAATTTCAACAAAAGTGCTGACATCAGCATTTTTCTGACAAAAGAAGAAAAAGATATTTCTTGACAGATTTCCTTAGAATTCGCCTTTACATACAGAAAAGCAAACACATCTATAAAGATCTTAAAACTGCATGATAAATGGCGAGATAAAAACCATCTTTGATATATTTGCAATAACAAAATCGTTGCAACAGCGCTTTTAGCGTCTCTGACAGCCTTCCTCGGGTTCAGCTAAAATACAGTCTAAACAACTTTTGCTCACAACCACAAACTAATCACGTGTTGAATAGGCTTGCCACATCCATTTCATAACATAAAATGTAGCGGTAACCACACGTTTTTTAAAGTTATCTTTTTTGAAAACTTTTACGGTGCCCGTTACATATTTTTCCTGTCACCTCCCCAGTAGGTAAAACAATTGCGCATCTCGCACTTGTTTTGCGCGCGCACTACGCCATCTGCAGGTACATGTTTACAGCTGGATTTCTGGATAATTTTCAACAGATAACAGCTAGTTTTTCAGGTGGAAGACGTTATCAGTTAATGCTTAGCGATATGCTATTATTCTGGTATTCCTGGTTTAAGTACACGTTCATTAAAATTGATTTGGTCTCAGTAAGAAAATTTTGCTTTCATTTTAGTCGTGTACTAGGTAACGTAGTTGATTGCGTCACTGTTCACCCTAGCGCGCGCGTGGCGCTTAAACCATGCCTTGCGTGATGCGCAGAACGTGTGCACACTAACAAAAGGAGGCACCGTCCTTAAGCCGATTTTGAACTTTTTCTTGAAATCCAGGAATGCGAAGTAGTTCACAATGTCCCCAAATAGCCATTCTACCGAAACTCTGACTTGGCTCATGGCCTTGTTGAACTGTTGTTCTGCTGGTGTCAAATTAGCGCCTTTGAAGGGCCCATGTAAATGGACACGCAAAGGGTACGCAGGGTGGCCATAAAAGAATAAGGGTGTCCCATCCGGTGCAAACGAGTACTGCGATAATTCTTGCAGAAGTCTTGAGTCGACTAGCATACCACTATCGTGTCTCTTGCCCTCGACTGTACCAAACAGACTTGCTAAAAGCCCATTTGGCGCAACTACGGACTGAAACTTTATACCATACACCCTTTTGTGTCCGTTATAGAGAATTCTGGCTTGATCTGGCTTACATAAGGGTCTCACTGTTCCATCTATGAAACCCCAACAGTTTTCGAGTGGAGCTCCTTCATTACGTATAGCGGCAGCAAAATGACGGATAAAGTTTCTGGAACGCGGCCATGGCTGATTTAAATGTGCCAGTAGGTGGCTATATTAATCGAATACATAGTACGTTATTCAGTTTGTAATCATGGAAAGTTGTGGAACTGGTCTCCCGAATCGAGCAACCATATCTGCAAATCGACACGGGTATGCAAAGCGCTTCAACAACATACTTAAAGCCTCCATTCCGTCCACAAGAACGCCATTGGGGCATTTCGTTATGCCTGGAATATCAAGAAATTCTCCGAGTAAAACAATATCGTTCTTATAAAAGCGAAACCCAGCCTTACACTCATCATCTGCCATAGAATCAAGATCGAAGCGACCATACTTCCAATAAGGAAATTCGAGATTTTCAGAGGAATTTAAATCGTACAACAGAGCAAACTCTGTCTCATCAATGCTTCCATCTTGATAGGCAAACATTAAAGCTTCCCTTGCCTCTCTAAAATGGTTTTTGTTACCATTTACCATGCAGTTTTAAGATCTTTATAAATGTGTTTGCTTTTCTGCTTGTAAAGGCGAATTCGAAGGAAATCTGTGAAGAAATATCCTTTCTTTCTGTCAGCATTTTTGTTGAGATTCAAGGCTAATTATCTCGAAAAAATGCGTGGCTACCCCAATTTTTCTTTGTGGATTCCAATAGCCCTTGCCAATGTCTACTTTTCCCACGTACCTGCCGCAAAAACCTTTTTATTTCGTAAGCACCGTCTTTAACTTTTAAACAAGCATGGTTACCCCTATATTTTATACTAAAAATGGAAGTGGCAAGTTTCTGGTTGCGAGGAAAAGACTACAGAGGAGAGCTGCATACCAAAAGTGTTTTTTTGTTACCATCTGCCATGTAGTTTAGTAAAGATCTTTGTGAATGTGTTTGCATTTCTGTGTGTAAAGGTGAATTCTAAGGAAACCTGTGAAAAAATATCTATTCCTACCAATTTTTAACTTCAAATTCTAATTTTAAAACCGGGAGCCTGTTCGCAGGCTATAGGGCTTTGTGAATTAGTGCCTTAGCGAACAGCAGCCCCCTAAACTATCCCAATAGTGCACTCTGCACTATAAAGAGGAAAGTAGGTTAATATTTCGGGATTCAGGTACACCCTTCTGACTCCAAGTTTTGTTTGGAATTGTCATAATTTACACGACGATATGTCAAGCTACGACGCAGTTTCCTGTGTATTTCGACTAGCCTCGTTAAAGTAGAGTGTAGTGAAGATTCCATCGCTGGAAGAAACATAATCAAGACGTGGAGGAGGTTGAATCACCTGGAACAGGGCGCTTATACATACAGATATACATATAAGCGCCCTGAACTGTTCTCTCTCCTCCCGTCTCGGCTCAACCCCTATATCGTGCGTGGAAAGGAGAGTTCAGGGACTGGACTTTATAAGGACAATCTTGACGAAAGATGGTCATTAGCATATTTCTGAAGCAAAGGATTCTCCTAACGCCAGTTTTTAATGTAACCTTTATTCTTACATCTGTCTACGATTTATTTCTACAACCACGTCCCACATTCCTAACTGGCCTTTCCGCTAGTAACGGTCTTCAACCCGGAACAGCAAACTCTAATTATTCCGCTTCTAAACTTGTAAGGTTTTCAAGACAAGTTCTGCCCCTGGCTAACGGTCACGAATGTCCCAATTATTTCTTTTCGCCCACTGCATCTTTCTCTGCACTTACTCCAAAGTTCTGATAAAGTCTGTTTTGCCTGGAACCTCTGAGTTTCTTGAGGTCTCTACTGTACTGTACTTCACGTAACAGTGTTTTATGCTGTTCTTCTAGTTCTTGGCGATGTTCGTGGAGAGCTCGTGTTCGTCTGATGAGCTGTAACAGCTCTTTACGCAATAACCGGTTTTCGTCTTTTATTCTGCGCGTGTGTTCGTCCAAGCACTGTTTCGCTTCCTAAGAAAACAACAACACCAAAAATGTCTTGAACAAACCACTGTTTAGTAACCTAGCGGTTAAGATTTTGATTAGACACAACAAAAACTACTAGGTACACCCAAACCACACCATCTACTCTTGATGAGTCAGTAACCGTGATTACTCGATCAAACTTTTTTAACGGCGGATTCTCCCTTGACCAGGCTCAAATCGCGGAGAGCAACAAAAAAAATGCCCGTAGCTAGTACGTGTAGAAGGACTTGTAGATGAAGCCTAGCCAACATCGTACATCAGTGAAAGAGAATTGCCGGCGAACTTAGCCATTCAAATTCCCCACACATACCTGGGAGGCTTGTTGAGCCATCTCCTGTATCTTTGTGTCTGACTCCTTTTGATAACTTCTTTTCTCTCGTAGGAATTGTGATTTAAGTTTCTGAATTGCTTCGGAGTGCTTTCCTCTCATGGTGTGAACATCCTGCTCAAGACGGGCAATCTCTGCCTTCTGATCACTTTGAAGAGTCTGTGAGGACAGTAAGATACATCAATTTACATGTTGTCTTCAAGGAACAAGGTAATTCATAGACTTCTCTGAGATATTGGAACACATACAGTAAGATAACATAATCAGTAAAATTGGTAAAATTCATCACTTACCACTGTTTTCACTGCTACTCAAAACACTCCTTGTAATAGACTTCCGTCAATCAAACAGTGATACCTTTTCTGGGGTCAATTCAATAAATAAATTACACTTGTAGCTTTTACACGTGTAATTTACACGTCTAAAGTCCGGCTTGTAAATACAAGGATTCAATAAAAGTATTTTCTACACTGAAATTTACACGTGTATCGCGCCTCAGGATACAAGTGTAAATTACAATATTGTAGACTTACAATTGTAAAATCCGCTTGGATGCACGTGTGTTTTTAAAAATGCAAATTTAAAATCTCTGCTGCCCTTTCAAAATCTGCGGGCCTATTTAAAATTCCAAAAGGTAGATGAACGCGTCCACAGGGAGACGAAACTTCCCTCCAAATTCCCTTGGATTTTCGATGTCAAAAAGCCATCTTTCTTCAAAATTCCTAGGTTGGCCGATAATTTGACGTCTCAGGAGCTCGTCGAGTTCCTCTTCACTAGAAGACGACATGTTTTGACTCTCCAATGTCCGTTTCGCATGTCGTACTCAATGTTTACAAGTGCATCCGACTTGTATTTCGCACTTGTAATTTACAAGTTGGACTCTTGTAAAAATACAAGTCGGACTCTTGATTCTTAGGCCCGTTCCAAACGCCGCTCCATTCATGCGCCGAACCTAACTGATGGGTTAAGTACGGCAGAAGAGCGGCGTTTGAATCAGTTTGGTTCGGCAGGTTAGGTTTGGTGCGGCAAACAACATTAAATTCGGCAGGTTCTGTCGCACTATGCGACGTTGGAGCGGCAGCTGATTCATACAGCGTTCTCCTCATGTGTCGAACCTAAT